ACATTACAAAAGTCATATGAATATACAGTGAGGGAAAAAAGTATTTGATCCCCTGCTGATTTTGTACGTTTGCCCACTGACAAAGACATGATCAGTCTATCATTTTAATGGTAGGTTTATTTGAACAGTGAGAGACAGAATAACAACAAAAAAATCCAGAAAAACACATGTCAAAAATGTTATAAATTGATTTGCATTTTAATGAGGGAAATAAGTATTTGACCCCTCTGCAAAACATGACTTAGTACTTGGTGGCAAAACCCTTGTTGGCAATCACAGAGGTCAGACATTTCTTGTAGTTGGCCACCAGGTTTGCACACATCTCAGGAGGGATTTTGTCCCACTCCTCTTTGCAGATCTTCTCCAAGTCATTAAGGCAGGGTTCTTCAATTCCGGTTCTGGAGGGCCGAAACACCTCTGTTTTTCATCCTCTCCTTCTAATCAGGGGCTAATTCAGACCTGGGATACCAGGTGAGTGCAATTAACTACCAGGTAGAAATAAAAAACAGAAGTGTTTCGGCCCTCCAGGACCGGAATTGAAGAACCCTGCATTAAGGTTTCGAGGCTGACGTTTAGCAACTCGAACCTTCAGCTCCCTCCACAGATTTTATATGGGATTAAGGTCTGGAGACTGGCTAGGCCACTCCAGGACCTTAATGTGCTTCTTCTTGAGCCACTCCTTTGTTGCCTTGGCCATGTGTTTTGGGTCATTGTCATGCTGGAATACAGTGGGGAAAAAAGTATTTAGTCAAATCAAATCAAATCAAATCAAATTTTATTGGTCACATGCGCCGAATACAACAGGTGCAGACATTACAGTGAAATGCTTACTTACAGCCCTTAACCAACAGTGCATTTATTTTAAACAAAAAAAGTAAGAATAAAACAACAACAAAAAAAGTGTTGAGAAAAAAAGAGCAGAAGTAAAATAAAGTGACAGTAGGGAGGCTATATATACAGTAAAATAAAGTGACAGTAGGGAGGCTATATATACAGGGGGGTACCGTTGCAGAGTCAATGTGCGGGGGCACCGGCTAGTTGAGGTAGTTGAGGTAATATGTACATGTGGGTAGAGTTAAAGTGACTATGCATAAATACTTAACAGAGTAGCAGCAGCGTAAAAAGGATGGGGTGGGGGGGCAGTGCAAATAGTCCGGGTAGCCATGATTAGCTGTTCAGGAGTCTTATGGCTTGGGGGTAGAAGCTGTTGAGAAGTCTTTTGGACCTAGACTTGGCACTCCGGTACCGCTTGCCGTGCGGTAGCAGAGAGAACAGTCTATGACTAGGGTGGCTGGAGTCTTTGACAATTTTGAGGGCCTTCCTCTGACACCGCCTGGTATAGAGGTCCTGGATGGCAGGGAGCTTTGCCCCAGTGATGTACTGGGCCGTACGCACTACCCTCTGTAGTGCCTTGCGGTCAGAGGCCAAGCAGTTGCCATACCAGGCGGTGATGCAACCAGTCAGGATGCTCTCGATGGTGCAGCTGTAGAATTTTTTGAGGATCTGAGGACCCATGCCAAATCTTTTTAGTCTCCTGAGGGGGAATCAGCCACAAATTGTGCAAGTTCTCCCACTTAAAAAGATGAGAGAGGCCTGTAATTTTCATCATAGGTACACGTCAACTATGACAGACAAAATGAGAAAAAAAAATCCAGAAAATCACATTGTAGGATTTCTAATGAATTTATTTGCAAATTATGGTGGAAAATAAGTATTTGGTCAATAACAAAAGTTTCTCAATACTTTGTTATATACCCTTTGTTGGCAATGACACAGGTCAAACGTTTTCTGTAAGTCTTCACAAGGTTTTCACACACTGTTGCTGGTATTTTGGCCCATTCCTCCATGCAGATCTCCTCTAGAGCAGTGATGTTTTGGGGCTGTCGCTGGGCAACACAGACTTTCAACTCCCTCCAAAGATTTTCTATGGGGTTGAGATCTGGAGACTGGCTAGGCCACTCCAGGACCTTGAAATGCTTCTTATGAAGCCATTCCTTTGTTGCCCGGGCGGTGTGTTTGGGATCATTGTCATGCTGAAAGATCCAGCCACGTCTCATCTTCAATGCCCTTGCTGATGGAAGGAGGTTTTCACTCAAAATCTCACGATACATGGCCCCATTCATTCTTTCCTTTACACGGATCAGTCGTCCTGGTCCCTTTGCAGAAAAACAGCCCCAAAGCATGATGTTTCCACCCCCATGCTTCACAGTAGGTATGGTGTTCTTTGGATGCAACTCAGCATTCTTTGTCCTCCAAACACGACGAGTTGAGTTTTTACCAAAAAGTTCTATTTTGGTTTCATCTGACCATATGACATTCTCCCAATCCTCTTCTGGATCATCCAAATGCACTCTAGCAAACTTCAGACGGACCTGGACATGTACTGGCTTAAGCAGGGGGACACGTCTTGCACTGCAGGATTTGAGTCCCTGGCGGCGTAGTATGTTACTGATGGTAGGCTGTGTTACTTTGGTCCCAGCTCTCTGCAGGTCATTCACTAGGTCCCCCCCGTGTGGTTCTGGGATTTTTGCTCACCGTTCTTGTGATCATTTTGACCCCACGGGGTGAGATCTTGCGTGGAGCCCCAGATCGAGGGAGATTATCAGTGGTCTTGTATGTCTTCCATTTCCTAATAATTGCTCCCACAGTTGATTTCTTCAAACCAAGCTGCTTACCTATTGCAGATTCAGTCTTCCCAGCCTGGTGCAGGTCTACAATTTTGTTTCTGGTGTCCTTTGACAGCTCTTTGGTCTTGGCCATAGTGGAGTTTGGAGTGTGACTGTTTGAGGTTGTGGACAGGTGTCTTTTATACTGATAACAAGTTCAAACAGGTGCCATTAATACAGGTAACGAGTGGAGGACAGAGGAGCCTCTTAAAGAAGAAGTTACAGGTCTGTGAGAGCCAGAAATCTTGCTTGTTTGTAGGTGACCAAATACTTATTTTCCACCATAATTTGCAAATAAATTCATTAAAAATCCTACAATGTGATTTTCTGGATTTTCTTCTCTCAATTTGTCTGTCATAGTTGACGTGTACCTATGATGAAAATTACAGACCTCTCTCATCTTTTTAAGTGGGAGAACTTGCACAATTAGTGGCTGACTAAATACTTTTTTTCCCCACTGTACCCATCCACGACCCATTTTCAATGTCCTGGCTGAGGGAAGGAGGTTCTCACCCAGGATTTGACGGTACATGGCCCCGTCCATCGTCCCTTTGATGCGGTGAAGTTGTCCTGTCCCCTTAGCAGAAAAACACCCCCAAAGCAAAATGTTTACAGCTCCATATTTGACGTGGGGATGGTGTTCTTGGGGTCATAGGCAGCATTCCTCCTCCTCCAAACACGGCGAGTTGAGTTGATGCCAAAGAGCTCGATTTTGGTCTCATCTGACCACAACACTTTCACCCAATTCTCCTCTGAATCATTCAAATGTTCATTGGCAAACTTCAGACGGGCCTGTATTGTGCTTTCTTGAGCAGGGGGACCTTGCGGGCGCTGCAGGATTTCAGTCCTTCACGGCGTAGTGTGTTACCAATTGTTTTCTTGGTGACTATGGTCCCAGCTGCCTTGAGATCATTGACAAGATCCTCCCGTGTAGTTCTGGGCTGATTCCTCACCGTTCTCATGATCATTGCAACTCCAGGAGGTGAGATCTTGCATGGAGCCCCAGGCCGAGGGAGATTGACAGTTCTTTGTGTTTCTTCCATTTGCGAATAATCGCACCAACTGTTGTCACCTTCTCACCAAGCTGCTTGGCGATGGTCTTGTAGCCCATTCCAGCCTTGTGTAGGTCTACAATCTTGTCCCTAACATCCTTGGTGAGCTCTTTGGTCTTGGCCATGGTGGAGAGTTTGGAATCTGATTGATTGATTGCTTCTGTGGACAGGTGTCTTTTATACAGGTAACAAACTGAGATTAGGAGCACTCCCTTTAAGAGTGTGCTCCTAATCTCAGCTCGTTACCTGTATAAAAGACACCTGGGAGCCAGAAATCTTTCTGATTGAGAGGGGGTCAAATACTTATTTCCCTCATTAAAATGCAAGTCAATTTATAACATTTTTGAAATTGCGTTTTTCTGGATTTTGTTGTTGTTATTGTCTCTCACTGTTCAAATAAACCTACCATTAAAATTATAGACTGATAATTTCTTTGTCAGTGGGCAAACGTACAATATCAGCAGGGGATCAAATACTTTTTTCCCTCACTGTAGACTCCATTAACTTTATAGTCTATCGTTCTTATTAAGGTGTTTTTAAAATGTATGAACTAATCCCAAAGACTGCAGTGATACTAAATAAATGTTTGGAGTAGATTGAATGACTGCTGAGCTCACCTGGGAGATGAGAATTAAACAATGGACAAGGTGTTAAGAGCTTTTAGCATGTGTGAAGATCCATTTCCTTCCAGTGCTGACTGATCAGGACTGGTCAAGCTCTGTTTCTTATCAAGACTGCTCAATACTGATCTTCTACTTCTTATGATTAAATACTTTTCAATACACCTTTGCACACTCAGAAATAGGCCATTGTACGCAGTGTGTATTATTTATTTGATACAGCCTTTTTTACTCATCTTTATCAAGGGTGACAATAACTTTGAAGGTGACTGTATACAATCTCCATATTTCTATGGAGTGGACCTCAGATGACATCTTGGGATATGGATATCAGTTGCTAGGAAACATCAAATGGATATGCTCCACCTGTTTCTAATCTAATTGAATTCCATCCTGCATGTAGCGGTGTAGAGCTGATGATTACTTAATACAGAAATGATGGGTAAATGGTAATCCAGACGAATCTCGCGAGCTTTCAGGCTAAAATACCATAGTAGGTGTCATTTCTAAAAAAAATGTGGAAGAGCATAAACCTAATTTCAACAACATTGTACAATTATAACTTTTCACTGTATGCCTGAGATTGCCAGCTGTCATAAGGAGCCATGTAAGGAAGATATTCAGTTTTTACCACAATTGTTCATCCACTCTTTCCCCTCTAGAATTTAGAGTTCCATGGAGTGATGCGGTTCTACTTTGAGGACCATGTTGCAGGGAACGTTGCCACCAAGTGCCTGCGTATCACCAGCACCACCACCACTGGAGAGGTTATTGAAACACTGTCAGAGAAGTTCAGACCGGACATGAAGATGTTGAATACTCCCTATTTCCTGTTTGAGGTCAATGCTAACAAGGGTAAGATGGATAGATGGATGGATGGATGGATGGATGGATGGATGGATGGATGGATGGATGGATGGATGGATGGATGGATGGATGGATGGATGGATGGATGGATGGATGGATGGATGGATGGATGGATGGATGGATGGATGGATGGATGGATGGATGGATGGATGGATGGATGGATGGATGGATGGATGGATGGATGGATGGATGGATGGATGGATGAATGAATGAATGGACGGACGGACACAGACAGACAAACAGACAGACAGATGGATACATGAATGAAAGAGAGTACACTTGGGGGCAGGGCATCGTGAACAATTCCCCTTTGTGAATAGATTGAGTGTATTATCTGGTAAATGTGTTCATATTATTCTCCCACTCTCCGCCCTGTTAACCATGGCAGAAGAACGTCAGCTGGACCTGAGTGAGAAGCCTCTGGTTGTGCAGCTGAACTGGAACACAGACAACAAGGAGGGCCGCTTCGTACTCAAGAAGGAGAAGGACATTATTGTACATGTGACTGACTGTTTACTGTATTTATAATTGAGCAGAATTCGCTCAGTTAGAAATTACTTTCATGCCTGACTTAGCTTGAGTGTCAAGGCAAGGCAAGCAATTTAGCTGGCAAGAGTTTATGCTTTGATTTCCACTGTAGTGTTGTGTCTCTCTGTGTGATTATGTGGTCTTAATCAATACAGGACAACAGCCCAGAGAAAAAGAAGGGAGGCATGATCCAGAACTTCAAGAGGACACTGTCAAGGAAAGAGAAGAAGAAGGAGAAGAAGAAGACGGGAGATGATGCTATTAACCACTCGGCAAAGCCTAATGGGTCCACTATGAGGAAAGAGAATGGGTAGGTCTTCCCTTAACACCAATTAATTCATTAGCAAACAGAGAAGCATGACAACAAAAATGTTTTTGGTTCACAAAAGTTAATGTTCAATGTTAAGTCCGTCTCTGGTAAAAGTTCACTGCCTGTACCTGATTCTCAAGTTATAGGTATACTCTTCTCTCCACTGCAGGCAGATATCAGCTTCTGTGGCTGTGGAGAAATCATCGACCAACAAGGATATTGTTTCTAACCCTGAGACAATGGAATGTCAGGAAAGATCCACGAGGGGAGGCATTATAAAGCCTACGGTCCGGAAGCAGAACCAGCAACAGGACTATGGAACATGGAATGAAAGGTAAACATTTACATTTATTGACATGACATTGCCTTCTGTGTGTGACAAAAATTCACACCTTTCTGGCATCTCTTGGCACTTAATAAAATGGCTACTGTGACTGTTGTTTTTTCATGATTCCGGTTTTGAGATATTGTTAAAGTGACTATAGGCCAGACAACTGAAATTATTACATCTTGTCTTAACAGAGCTCAGGACAACATGGACCAACTTGCACTTCCAGTTGGTATTAAATTCAGGGAAAATTGTAAGTAATTACGTTTGACCATTGTAATAGCACTGTAGTATCACATTGTAATAGCACATTGTAATAACATAGCAATAACACAATCAGTTTGTTATCAGTCTCATTATCGTCCTGTATTAATCTGCTGTCCTCTACTGGTGTCACTCTGTCATAACAGCTGAGGACGCCTTCCTCTCTGCAGTCATCAACTACACCAACAGTTCCACTGTCCACTTCAAGCTCTCCCCTGCCTACGTCCTGTACATGGCCGGACGCTTCGTCCTCCACCGCCATTACAGTCACAGTCAGGAGACATCACAGAGTCATCGCCCCTCAGAGCATGCACACAGAGTCACCGCTACTGTCAACAAGATGGTGGCCATGACTGAGGTGGTCATCCAGGTAAGTGAACCATGCATGCACCATCACACTTTGACTCTGTGTGAATTATACAGCGCAACTGGAAAGAGCATCCCTCTTCTGCTTCATGGGTTCATTATGGTTTTGGTAACACTTTAGCCTGAAGGTATAATTAAGCAATAAGGCCCAAGGGGGTGTGGTACATGCCAATATACTGTACCATGGCTAAGGGCTGTTCTTAGGCACGACAAAACGTGGAGTGCCTGGACACAGCCCTTAGCCGTGGTATATTTGCCATATATCACAACCCCCCGAGGTGCCTTATTGCTATTATAAAAAGGTTACCAACTGAATTAGAGTAGTAAAAATAACTGTTGTCATACCAGTGGTATACGTGTAGGTCCCGTGTAGCTCAGTTGGTAGAATATGGCGCTTGCAAAGCCAGGGTTGTGTGTTCGATTCCCACGGGGGGCCAGTATGACAAAACATTTTATGTACTCACTAACTGTAAGTTGCTCTGGATAAGAGCGTCTGCTAAATGACTAAAATGTAAATACGGTCTGATATACACATACATATACAGTGGGGAGAACAAGTACTTTGATACACTGCCGATTTTGCAGGTTTTCCTACTTACAAAGCATGTAGAGGTCTGTAATTTTTATCATAGGTACACTTCAACTGTGAGAGACGGAATCTAAAACAAAAATACAGAAAATCACATTGTATGGTTTTTAAGTAATTAATTTGCATTTTATTGCATGACATAAGTATTTGATCACCTACCAACCAGTAAGAATTCCGGCTCTCACAGACCTGTTTGTTTTTCTTTAAGAAGCCCTCCTGTTCTCCACTCATTACATGTATTAACTGCACCTGTTTGAACTCGTTACCTGTATAAAAGACTCCTGTCCACACACTCAATCAAACAAACAGACTCCAACCTCTCCACAATGGCCAAGACCAGAGAGCTGTGTAAGGACATCAGGGATAAAATTGTAGACCTGCACAAGGCTGGGATGGGCTACAGGACAATAGGCAAGCAGCTTGGTGAGAAGGCAACAACTGTTGGCGCAATTTTTAGAAAATGGAAGAAGTTCAAGATGACGGTCAATCACCCTCGGTCTGGGGCTCCATGCAAGATCTCACCTCGTGGGGTATCAATGATCATGAGGAAGGTGAGGGATCACAGTCTCAAAGAAAACCATTAGTAACACACTACGCCGTCATGGATTAAAATCCTGCAGCGCACGCAAGGTCCCCCTGCTCAAGCCAGCGCATGTCCAGGCCCGTCTGAAGTTTGCCAATGACCATCTGGATGATCCAGAGGAGGAATGGGAGAAGGTCATGTGGTCTGATGAGACAAAAATAGAGCTTTTTGGTCGAAACTTCACTCGCCGTGTTTGGAGGAAGCAGAAGGATGAGTACAACCCCAAGAACACCATCCTAACCGTGAAGCATGGAGGGGGAAACATCATTCTTTGGGGATGCTTTTCTGCAAAGGGGACAGGACGACTGCACTGTATTGAGGGGAGGATGGATGGGGCCATGTATCGCGAGATCTTGGCCAACAACCTCCTTCCCTCAGTAAGAGCATTGAAGATGGGTCGTGGCTGGGTCTTCCAGCATGACAACGACCCGAAACACACAGCCAGGGCAACTAAGGAGTGGCTCTGTAAGAAACATCTGAAGGTCCTGGAGTGGCCTAGCCAGTCTCCAGACCTGAACCCAATAGAAAATCTTTGGAGGGAGCTGAAAGTCCGTATTGCCCAGCGACAGCCCCGAAACCTGAAGGATCTGGAGAAGGTCTGTATGGAGGAGTGGGCCAAAATCCCTGCTGCAGTGTGTGCAAACCTGGTCAAGACCTACAGGAAACGTATGATCTCTGTAATTGCAAACAAAGGTTTCTGTACCAAATATTAATTTCTGCTTTTCTGATGTATCTGAGGTTTTTACTTTCTTTACTCTGCAGATTACTAAATATTGAGTAAAAATAGGCTGCTTTATGTTTGGGTAATTCCAAATACTCAGCTATTGGGTTCTTTCCTGGATTTTGTTGATAGCCGGTTAACAAACATTCCCTCAATTGTAAATATTTCCACTTAATATTTTTTAACCAAATCTGAGTATGACATGAAAACATCTTCATTGTACAGATCACCTATAGTATGAATTCCTTTCATTAGCCACTGTTTCCAGTACACAGACTTCTTTCCTATCCGTAGCCTAGGATTGTGCCACAATGATGAGTATCGTTGTTTTAGATGTGAAATTCCACATATCTTGTGTACTGTTCTCCACAACTCTTTTGAGTGTAACAAAATTGGGTTGGGAGTTTCAACAGACCTCTCCCCTGTAAGACTATGTGACAGAGTATCACCAGACCTCTCCCCTGTAAGACTATGTGACAGAGTATCACCAGGGGTGAAAGGATAACCTAGTACCCTTTCTATTGGTTCCCTTTCTATTGTTATCCAATCCAAGCCAGCATCTCTTTTGCCCCAATGCTTCGCCAATTTAGCCATTTCAAATGATAAATGGTACAATTTAACATCTGGTAAAGTCAACCCTCCTACATCCCTTGGTGAGCACATTTTCTTCATATTAATCTTGGATTTTTTCCTATCCCACAAAAAGTATTTAGTTAATTTGTCATATTGTTTAAAATACCGGTCTGGAATATTCAGAGCTAAATTGCAGAGATACAGTGCATTTGGAAAGTATTCAAACCCCTTGACTTTTTCCACATTTTGTTACGTTACAGCCTTATTCTAAAACGGATTAAATAAAAACGTTTCCTCATCAATCTATTCACAATACCCCATAATTACAAAGCGAAAACAGGTTTTAAAAAACAGAAATACCTTATTTACATAAGTATTCAGACCATTTGCTATGAGACTCGAAATTAAGCTCAGGTGCATCCTGTTTCCATTGATCATCCTTGAGATGTTTCTACAACTTGATTGGAGTCCACCTGTGGTAGATTCAATTGACTGGACATGATTAGGAAAGTGACACACCTGTCTATATAAGGTCCCACAGTTGACAGTGCATGTCAGAGCAAAAACCAAGCCATGAGGTTGAAGGAATTGTCCGTAGAGCTTTGAGACAGGATTGTGTCGAGACACAGATCTGGGGAAGGGTACCAAAAAATGTCTGCAGCATTGAAGGTCCCCAAGAACACAGTGGCCTCCATCATTTTTAAATGGAAGATGTTTGGAACCACCAAGACTCTTCCTAGAGCTGGCCACCCGGCCAAACTGAGCAATTGGGGGAGAAGGGCCTTGGTCAGGGAGGTGACCAAGAACCTGATGGTTACTCTCACAGAGCTCCAGAGTTCCTCTGTGGAGATGGGAGAACCTTCCAGAAGGACAGCCATCTCTGCAGCACTCCACCAATCAGGCCTTTTTGGTAGAGTGGCCAGACGGAAGCCACTCCTCAGTAAAAGGCACATAACAGCCCGCTTGGAGTTTGCCAAAAGGCACCTAAAGGACTCTCAGACCATGAGAAACAAGATTCTCTGGTCTGATGAAACCAAGATTTAACTCTCTGGCCTGAATGCCAAGCGTCACGTCTGGAGGAAACCTGGTACCATCCCTTGGGTGAAGCATTTTTGGTGGCAGCATCATGCTGTGGGGATGCTTTTCAGTCAGGATCGAGGGAAAGATGAATGGTACAAAGTACAGAGAGATCCTTGATTAAAACCTGCTTCAGAGTGCACAGGACCTCAGACTGGGGCGAAGGTTCACCTTCCAACAGGACAACGACCCTAAGCACACAGCCAAGACAACGCAGGAGTGGCTTGGGGACAAGGCTCTGAATGTCCTTGAGTGGCCCAGCCAGAACCCGGACTTGAACCCAATCTATCATCTCTTGAGAGACCTGAAAATAGCTGTGCAGCGACGCTCCCCATCCAACCTGACAGAGCTTGAGAGGATCTGCAGAGAAGAATGGGAGGAACTCCCCAAATACAGGCGTGCCAAGCTTGTAGTGTCATACCCAAGAAGATTTGAGGCTGTAATCGCTGAGTACTGAGTAAAGGGTGTGAATACTTACGTAAATGTGATATTTCAGTTTCTTATTTTTAAAACATCTGCAAACATTCTAAAAACCTGTTTTTGCTTTGTCATTGTGGGGTATTGTGTGTAGATTGATGAGGGGAAAAAATAATTTAATCAATTTTAGAATACGGCTGTAACGAAACAAAATGTGGAAAAGGTCAAGGGGTCTGAATACTTTCCGAATGCACTGTATAATTAAATTGTGGGACCACAACCATTTTAATCACGTTGATCTTTCCCCATAAAGAAAAGTTTGATATTTTCCCATTTTTCTAAATTGGTCTTAATCTTGACTAGTAGTGGCTCAAAATGTAGTTTTAATACCCAAATATTTAATCCCAGTAGGATCCAATTTGAAATTAAATGTTGTTCCAGAGTAACATATGGCATGAATTGGCATTGCTTCCGACTTATTCCAATTAATTTTGTAGCCTGACAAACTAGAATATGATTCAATACAAGTAAGTAGTCGTGGTACAGACTGAAGAGGATCGGAGACCAGCAGTAGAATATAATCTGCATACATAAGCAGCTTATGTTATTTTCTTCCTCCACGTACACCCCTAATTTCTGTTCTTATCATTGTCACAACAGGCTCTAAAACTATGGTAAACAGGAGAGGGGAGAGCGAGCAACCCTGCCTTGTGCCTCTAGAAAGACAAGAAAAAGGAGACATAATTCCATTCGTCAGTCCTGTTGCTTTAGGATTGGAATAGAGGACCCCTATCCATTTACAAAAGTCAGGTCCAAAAACAAATTTTCCCAGGGTTCTTAAGAGAAAAGCCCACTCTACCCTATCAAATACCTTCTCAGCATCTAAGGAGACAGCAGCAGTATGAACTATATTTGAGAGGGTTAAGAGCATCCTCATATTATTAGTTGAGGTCCTGTTCTTAATAAATCCTACTTGGTCAATATGTATGATATTAGGTAGGGCCTCTCAAAGCGTATCACAAGGGTATTAGTAAGAATCTTACAATCCACATTAAGGAGGCTGATAGCTCTAAAATTCCCAGGTTCTGTAGTATCTCTATCCTTTTTAGGGATCAGCGATATCAAAGCCTCATTAAAGGTGTCCGGAAGGGAGCCATTTTTAAATGCCTCCTGGTAAACCACTGTCAATACAGGTACAAGAATGTCAATGTACTTTTATAATATTCTACAGGAAGGCCATCCAGCCCAGGTGACTTCCCTGCTTTCATAGAGAAAATGGCGGCTCTAACCTCCTCTTCTGTTATTTTACAGTCCAGGTCCTCTACCTGGCTATCTGATAATCTAGGTAATTCTATACCAGACAAAAAAGTATCCATATCTATGGGGTTCGCTGAACAGGAGGATGTACATAAATCTTCATAAAAATGTTGAATCACACTGTTTATCTCTTTGGATGAGGTCACCATATTATTGCCCTTCTTAATTTCTGAAATTACGTTTGAAGTGTTCTGCATTTTTAGTTGTCTTGCTAGTAGCCTGCCTGTCTTCTCACCTCCCTCATAACGTTTTGGACGCATGTGCTATTATTTTCCATCTAATATATGCTTTAGAGGTTTCCCATACTGTGGAAATCTTTTCAGTTGAGCCTATGTTGATCTCAGAAAAAGATCTAAGATAATCTGCTAGTGTTTGGCTAAATATCTCATCTTGTAAAAGCATGGTGTTGAGTCTAAAAAAGAAAAAAGTATAGTCTCTATCATTAGGATGGACTAATCTCCATACAGTTGAAGTCGAAAGTTTACATACATTTACATTTTTACATTTTAGTCATTTAGCAGACGCTCTTATCCAGAGCGACTTACAGTCGGGAATCGAACCCACAACCCTGGCGTTGCAAACGCCATGCTCTATCAATGGCTACCCTGCGGCCATTCCTCCCTACCGGGCAATGTCGCCCCCATGGGCCTCCGGCGAGTCGACGAGCTGATCGAACCAGATCGTTTTGACGCGATGCAGGCCTTAACCACTGCCCACTCAGGAGTACATATACACTTAGGTTGGAGTCATTAAAACTCGTTTTTCCAACACTACACAAATTTCTTGTAACAAACTATAGTTTGTGCCATGACACAAAAAATTTTCCAACAATTGTTTACAGCAGATATTTAACTTATAATTCACTGTATCACAATTCCAGTGGGTCAGAAGTTTACATACACTAAGTGACTGTGCTTTAAACAGCGTGGAAAATTCCAGAAAACGATGTCATGGCTTTAGAAGCTTCTGATAGGCTAATTGACATCATTTGAGTCAATTGGATGTGTACCCGTGGATGTATATTAAGACCTACCTTCAAACTCAGTGCCTCTTTGTTTCACATCATGGGAAAATCAAAAGAAATCAGCCAAGACCACAGAAAAAGAATTGTAGATCTCCACAAGTTTGGTTCATCCATGGGAGCAATTTCCAAATGCCTGAAGGTACCACGTTCATCTGTACAAACAATAGTACGCAAGTATAAACACCATGGGACCACGCAGCCGTTATTCTGCTCAGGAAGGAGATGTGTTCTGTCTACTAGAGATGAACGTACTTTGGTGCGAAAAGTGTACATCAATCCCAGAACAACAGCAAAGGACCTTGTGAAGATGCTGGAGGAAACAGGTACAAAAATATCTATATCCACAGTAAAACAAGTCCTACATCTGAAAGGCCACTCAGCAAGGAAGAAACCACTGCTCCAAAACCGCCATAAAAAAGCCAGACTACGGTTTGCAACTGCACATGGGGACAAAGATCGTACTTTTTGGAGAAATGTCCTCTGGTCTGATTGAACAAAAATAGAACTGTTTGGCCATAATGACCATCGTTATGTTTGGAGGAAAAAGGGGAACGCTTGCAAGCCGAAGAACACCATCCCAACCGTGAAGCACGGGGGTGGCAGCATCATGCTGTGGGGGTGCTTTGTTGCAGGATGGACTGGTGCACTTCACAAAATAGATGGTATCATGAGGAAGGAAAATTATGTGGATATATTGAAGCAACATCTCAAGACATCAGTCAGGAAGTTAAAGCTTGGTCGCAAATGGGTCTTCCAAATGGACAATGACCCCAAGCGTACTTCCAAAGTTGTGCCAAAATGGCTTAAGGACAACAAAGTCAAGGTTTTGGAGTGGCCATCACAAAGCCCTGACCTCAATCCTATAGAAAATGTGTGGGCAGAACTGAAAAAGCATGTACGAGCATGGAGGCCTACAAACCTGACTCAGTTACACCAGCTCTGTCAGGAGGAATGGCCCAAAATTCACCCAACTTATTGTGGGAAGCTTGTGGAAGGCTACCCGAAACGTTTGACCCAAGATAAACAATTTAAAGGCAATGCTACCAAATACTAATTGTGTGTATGTAAATGTCTGACCCACTGGGAATGTGATGAAATAAATAAAAGCTGAAATAAATAATTCTCTCTACTATTATTCTGACATTTCACATTCTTAAAATAAAGTCCTGATCCTAACTGACCTAAGACAGGGAATTTTTACTAGGATTAAATGTCAGGAATTGTGTAAAACTGAGTTTAAATATATTTGGCTAAGGTGTATGTAAACTTCCGACTTCAACTGTATGTATTGCAAGTTTTTTTTTATATATAATATTTTCATTGACAATGAATGAAAGACATTGTAAATGTGTCCTCTTTTTGTCCCCCTTCGACCCCCTTTGATTATTGTCCAGTCATATGGTCAAGTGCTGCAAAGAAAGACCTAGTTAAGCTGCAGCTGGTCCAGAACAGAGCGGCACATCTTGCTCTTCATTGTAATCAGAGGGTTAATATTAATACTATGCATGCTAGTTTCTCTTGGCTAAGAGTTGAGGAAAGACTGACTGCGTCACTTGCTTTTATAAGAAACATGAATGTGTTGTAAATTCCAAATTGTTTGCTAGTCAACTTACACACAGCACTGACACACACTTAACCCACCAGACATGCCACCAGGGGTCTTTTCACAGACCCCAGGTCCAGAACAAATTCAAGGAAATGTACAGTATTATACAGAGCCATGAGTGCATGGAACTCCCTTCCATCTTATATAGCGCAACTGAACAACAAACCTGGTTTTAAAAAACAAATAAAAAAACACCTCACAGCACAACACCTCTCCCCCATGTGACCTACTTGTTGTGTGTATGTACTGACATGTATGTGTAGCTGATAGATCCACACACACACTACATGTTAATGTTTTTAAATGTATGGTAATGTATTTGTCTGTAATGTCTTTTTTGTTTTGTGTTGGACCCCATTAAGACTAGCTGTCGCCATTGGCATTGGCTAATGGGGATCCCAATAAATCAAATAAATCAAATAAATATCCTCTGTAGCTCAGCTGGTAGAGCACGGCGCTTGTAACGCCAAGGTAGTGGGTTCGATCCCCGGGACCACCCATACACAATAATGTATGCACGCACGACTGTAAGTAGCTTTGGATAAAAGCGTCTGCTAAATGGCATATTATAATTATTATAAATATACCATGGCTGTCAGCCAATCAGCATTCAGGGTTCGAACCCTCCAGTTTATAATGCTTTGTAACATGTTACAAGCATGCATGAGACTTTATAATGTCTCATAATAAGGCTTATAATATGTCTATATTTATTCCATCCTGGTCTTTCTCTCCCTTCCAGAAGCAGAAGTCCATAGCTGGTGCTGTAGCCTTCTGGATGGCCAATGCCTCAGAGCTCCTGAACTTCCTAAAGCAGGACAGAAATCTAAGCCCCATCACACTGCAGGCTCAGGAGAACCTGGCACACCTGGTGCACAAAGCTTTCAAGTAAGACATTACATATAGCAATTAAACTAAATTAAACTAATCTGGATGAATAAAGGTTAAATATTTTTGGATGGACAAAGCAATGATAACTTTTCACCAGTTCACTGAAAAACCTAAAAGAAATGTAATATAATTTACTCTGACTTTAGTAAGTAAGGATTGTAGCTGCTGGTCTACTGTAAAGACATTGAACTGAGCACATAAGTCATCTTCACTCATCAATCCTCCTGATGTTGTACAGTATTGATAAAGCCGCCTGCCCCCTGTCTGTCTGTCTTTCTGTCTTTTGTTCCTCAAGGTGTTTGACTCAGTGTCTGCTGACTGATCTGAGCAGACACTTGCCAGCATTCCTGATTGATCCTGAGGGGAGTCAATCACCTGCCGTAATAGGTACACCATGAATGTTAACCACAACACAATCTAGTTACCCTAGCCTGCAGCTAGGGTAATAACCTCTAACTTTCTTTGTTTTAACCCGCAGCTTTCATATGTTAGTATTGATCCAGTAGATGTAGAACCAACACCAGCATGAAAATCAACACCAGTATGATTATTTTCAATGTTTTTAAAATTTGTTTGAAAACTTTTTGTCACTCTATCCTCCCATCACCAGAGGGCGTACTGCAAACCCTGATGGGTGCCATGTCTCTGCTGCGTCGCTGTAGAATCAACGCTGCCCTCACCATCCAGCTGTTCTCCCAACTCTTCCACTCCATCAGCGCCTGGCTCTTCAACAGGTGAGAGAGGCAGACATACAGTAGTTGAGGCTTTTAAATCACGTTTTGAAAACCCACCCTTTTAGCCTGGCCTTTAATCACTATTATTTAACATATCTTTTGTGTTTCATGTTCTTTAATTAATCAATTTTTTTGCATTCTCTTGTCTTCATCTCATTGTTTTTTTTTGATTTTACTGTGAAGTATGTTGCAATTTTAAATGCACTTTAAATAAAGTTTGATTTGATTCAACAGGCTGCTGAGCCCCAGCCCCCAGGGAGAGGCCTGCTCCCTGGGCCTTAGGTCCCGCTACTGGGGGGCCACCCTCCGCCAGAGGCTTAGCCTGGTGGAGGACTGGGCAGAGAGGCAGGGTCTGGAGCTGGCCGCAGACTGCCACCTCAGCCGTGTCATACAGGTGGGTGACTTTATTTTAGTTTATTTGACCAGGTTAGTCAAATGTGTCAAAATTCCTCAAGGTGGGCGTTTAAAGCTAGTTCCTACTTCATAGTAGGGCTGTTTAAAGGTCCAATGTAGCCGTTTTTATCTCAATATCAAATCATTTCTGGGTAACAATTAAGTGCCTTACTGTGATTGTTTTAAATTAAAATGGTCAAAAATAAACAAAAATAGCTTCTCAGCAAAGAGCAATTTCTCAAGCAAAAATGTTGCTAGGACTGTCTGGGAATGGGGAGGGGAAAACTAGCTGTTATTGGCAGAGAGGTTTGGAAATCTCTTTCTTATTGATCTATTAACTAATTTACCACCAGAACAGGCTTAAACAGGCTTACATTTCAGGCCGCCTTTCAAACAGCTCTTACACTAAAAGGGCATTATCATAATTCTCACAATTTCACAGTATTATTCCAAACTCATAGTGTGGAAATGTATATAAAACACAGGACATACACCTTTTTTTGTATAAATGCCTTCTTGAACATGTGAACTGTCTTGTGCCTTAATTACATGCTTGTATGGGATCTGTAAATATGAATACATTTTTAAAATTATGAGCCTGGTTTAGCCAAGGAGAAAGCACTGAGCTGTATAGGGAGAAAGACAGGATCCTTCGTGGCTAGCCATGATTGGCTGAGATAATGGAGGGGTTGAACATGCCGAGAGATAATTCATTTGATGATGCAGTAGTAGCTATACATGGTTATAGAATATATAGGAAAGATAGAAATGGAAATGGAGGAGGTGTTGCCATGTATGTCCAGAGTCATATTCCTGTTAGGCTGAGAGAGTATCTCATGTCAGATGATGTGGAAGTAATATGGCTACTGGTTCATCTGCCTCACCTAAAGCCTATTCTCATAGGAAGTTGCTATAGACCACCAAGTGCTAAAAGTCAGTATTTGGACTATATGTGTGAAATGTTGGGTAATGTATGTGATATCACATTGATACTCCTGTTTGCCACATCTTCAATTCAAGCCTAGAAGACGGTGTGTGCCCTCAGACATGGAGGAGGCAAAAGTCATTCCGCTACCCAAGAATAGCAGAGCACCCTTTTAATGGTTAAAACAGCTGACCAATCAGCCTGTTACAAGTGCTTAGCAAACTTTTGGAAAAAATGTTGTTTGATCAAATACAAAGTTATTTTACAGAAAACAGACAGCATGCTTATAGGGAACGGCACTCAACATGCTCGGCACTGACACAAATGACTGGCTGAAAGAAATTGATAATAAGAAGATTGTGGGAGCTGTTTTGTTAGACTTCAGTGCAGCTTTTGATGTCATTGATCATAACCTATTGCTGAAAAAACATACAGTACCAGTCAAAAGTTTGGACACACCTACTCATTCCAGGGTTTTTCTATATTTTTACTATTTTCTACATTGTAGAATAATAGTGAAGACATCAAAACTATGAAATAACACATTTGGAATCATGTAGTAACCAAAAAAGTGTTAAACAAATCAAAATATATTTTATATTTGAGATTCTTCAAAGTAGCCACTCTTTACCTTGATGACAGCTTTGCAACTAGCTGTTCCTTTACACGGTACCCCATCCTGTTTATCTGTTTAGCATCAGCCCAAACTTTCGTCGCCACAACCAGCTGTTGTCTTAGCTCTCTCGAATACACCTGTGATTGCTTTATGCCTCTCTCCCATGTCAATATGCCATGCCTATTGCTGTTTCGGTTAGTTGTTATTGTACTATTTCACTGTAGAGCCCCCAGTCCCACTCAACCTGCCTCAGATAGCTCCTTTGTCCCACCCCCCATACACGCGGAGACCGGCTCAATCGGTGCCTACAGTGATGCTATCTCTTTCATTGTTACCCAACGCTTAGGTTTACCTCCACTGTACTCATATCCTTTCACATCCTTGTATGTACATAATGCCTTGAATCTATTCTACAACGCCCGGAAATCTGCCCCTTTTATTCTCTGTACCCAACGCTCTAGAAGACCAGTTCTTAAAGCCTTTAGCCGTATCCTTATTCTATTCCTCCTCTGTTCCTCTGGTGATGTAGAGGTTAACCCAGGCCCTGCAGCCCCCAGTATCACTCCTACACCCAGGCGCTATCATTTGTTGACTTCTGTAACCGTAAAAGACTTGGTTTCTTGCACGTTAACATCAGAAGCCTCCTCCCTAAGTTTGAATTATTCACTGCGTTAGCACACTCCGCCATCCCTGATGTTCTAGCAGTGTCTGAATCCTGGCTTAGGAAGGCCTTGTCTAGATAGAACTGCCAAAGGGGGCGGAGTTGCAATCTACTGTAGAGATAGCCTGCAGAGCTCTATCATACTCTCCAGGTCTGTGCCCAAACTGTTTGAGCTTCTACTTCTAAAAATCCACCTTTCCAGAAATAAGTCTCTCACTGTTGCCGCTTGCTACAGACCCCCCTCAGCCCCCAGCTGTGCCCTGGACACCATATGTGAATTGATTGCCCCCCATCTATCCTCAGAGTTCGTACTGCTTGGTGACCTAAACTGGGATATGCTTAATACCCCGGCCGTCCTACAATCTAAACTAGATGCCCTCAATCTCACACAAATTATCAAGGAACCTACCCGGTACAACCCTAAATCCGTAAACATGGGCACCCTCATAGATATCATCCTGACTAATTTACCCTCTAAATACACATCCGCTGTCTTCAACCAGGATCTCAGTGATCACTGCCTCATTGCCTGCGTCCGTAATGGGTCTGCGGTCAAACGACCACCCCTCATCACTGTCAAACGCTCCCTAAAACACTTTAGCGAGCAGGCCTTTCTAATTGACCTGGCTCGGGTATCCTGGATGGATATTGACCACATTCCGTCAGTAGAGGATGCCTGGTTGTTCTTTAAAAGTGCTTTCCTCTCCATCTTAAATAAGCATGCCCCATTCAAAAAATTCTGAACTAAGAACAGATATAGCCCCTGGTTCACCCCAGACTTGACTGCCCTTGACCAGCACAAAAACATCATGTGGCGTACTGCATTATCATCGAACAGCCCCCGCAATATGTAACTTTTCAGTGAAGTCAGGAACCAATATACACAATCAGTTAGGAAAGCAAAAGCTAGCTTTTTCAAACAAAAATGTGCATCCTGTAGCACTAACTCCAAAATGTTTTGGGACACTGTAAATCCATGGAGAATAAGAGCACCTCCTCCCAGCTGCCCACTGCACTGAGGCTAGGAAACACTGTCACCACCGATAAAACCACGATAATCAAACATTTCAACAAGCATTTTGCTGCGGCTGGCCATGCTTTCCACCTGGCTACCCCTACCCCGGCCACGAGCTCTGCACCCTCTGCTGCAACTTGCCCATGCACCCCTTGCTTCTCCATCACCCAAATTCAGACAGCTGATGTTCTGAAAGAGCTGCAAAATCTGGACCCCTATAAATCAGCTGGGCTAGACAATCTGGACCCTTTCTTTCTAAAATTAGCCGCCGAAATTGTCGCAATCCCTATTACTAGCCTGTTCAACCTGCCCTTCGAAAGTTTTTGAAAGCCAAGTTAACAAACAGATCATGACCATTTCGAATCCCACCGTACCTTCTCCGCTATGCAATCTGGTTTCCGAGTTGGACATGGGTGCACCTCAGCCACGCTCAAGGTCCTAAACGATATTATAACCGTGATCGATAAAAGACAGTACTGTGCAGCCGTCTTCATCGACCTGGCCAAGGCTTTCGACTCTGTCAATCACCGCATTCTTATTGGCAGACTAAATAGCCTTGGTTTCTCAAATGACTGCCTCGCCTGGTTCACCAACTACTTTTCAGATAGAGTTCAATGTGTCAAATCGGAGGGCCTGTTGTCTGGACCTCTGGCAGACTCTGTGGGGGTGCCACAGGGTTCAATTCTTGGGCCGACTCTATTCTCTGTGTATATCAATGATGCCGCTCTTGCTGCTGGTGACTGTCAGACCCACCTCTACGCAGACGACACCATTTTGTATACATTTGGCCCTTCATTGGACACTGTTTTAACAAACCTCCAAACGAGCTTCAATGCCATACAACACCCCTTCCGTAGCCTCCAACTGCTCTTAAATGCTAGTAAAACTAAATGCAAGCTCTTCAATCGAACGCTGCTTGCTCCCGCCCGCCCGACTAGAATCACTACTCTCGGCGGGTCTGAATTAGATTATGTGGACAACTACAAATACCTAGGTGTCTGGTTAGACCGTAAACTCTCCTTCCAGACTCATATTAAGCATCTCCAATCCAAAGTTAAATCTAGAATTGGCTTCCTATTTCGCAACAAAGCCTCCTTCACTCATGCTGCCAAACATGCCCTCGTAAAACTGACTATCCTACCGATCCTTGACTTCGGCAATGTCATTTACAAAATAGCCTCCAACACTCTACTCAGCAAATTGGATGTAGTCATTCATAGTGCCATCCGTTTTGTCACCAAAGCCCCATATACTACCCACCATTGTGACCTGTACGCTCTCGTTGGCTGGCCCTCACTACATATTCATCCCAAACCCACTGGCTCCAGGTCATCTATAAATCACTGCTAGGCAAATCCCCGCCTTATCTTAGCTCATTGGTCACCATAACAACACCCACCCATGGTATGCGCTCCAGCAGGTATATCTCACTGGTCATCCCCAAAGCCAACACCTCCTTTGGCCGCCATTCCTTCCAATTCTCTGCTGCCAATGACTGGAATTAACTGCAAAAATCTCTGAAGCTGGAGACTCTTATCTCCTTCACTAACTTTAAGCATCAGTTGTCAGAGAAGCTTACCGATCACTGCACCTGTACACAGCCCATCTGTAATTAGCCCACCCAACTACCTCATCCCCATATTGTTATTTATTTTGCTCATTTGCACCCCAGTATCTCTATTTGCACATCACCTTTTGCACATCTGTCTCTCCAGCGTTAATAATAAATTGTAATTATTTTTCACTATGACCTATTTATTGCTTTACCTCCATAACTTACTACATTTGCACACACTGTATATAGATTTTATATTGTGTTTTTGACTGTATGTTTTGTTTATCCCATATGTAACTCTGTGTTGTTGTTGTTTTTATCGCACTGCTTTGCTTTACAGTGAGGGAAAAAAGTATTTGATCCCCTGCTGATTTTGTATGTTTGCCCACTGACAAAGAAATGATCAGCCTATCATTTTAATGGTAGGTTTATTTGAACAGTGAGAGACAGAATAACAACAAAAGAATCCAGAAAAACGAATGTCAAAAATGTTATCAATTGATTTGCATTTTAATGAGGGAAATAAGTATTTGACCCCCTCTTAATCAGAAAGATTTCTGGCTCCCAGGTGTCTTTTATACAGGTAACGAGCTGAGATTAGGAGCACACTCTTAAAGGGAGTGATCCTAATCTCAGCTTGTTACCTGTATAAAAGACACCAGTCCACACAAGCAATCAATCAATCAGATTCTAAACTCTCCACCATGGCCAAGACCAAAGAGCTCTCCAAGGATGTCAAGGACAAGATTGTAGACCTACACAAGGCTGGAATGGGCTACAAGACCATCGCCAAGCAGCTTGGTGAGAAGGTGACAACAGTTGGTGCGATTATTCGCAAATGGAAGAAACACAAAAGAACTGTCAATCTCCCTCGGCCTGGGGCTCCATGCAAGATCTCACCTCGTGGAGTTGCAATGATCATGAGAACGGTGAGGAATCAGCCCACAACTACACGGGAGGATCTTGTCAATGATCTCAAGGCAGCTGGGACCATAGTCACCAAGAAAACAATTGGTAACACACTACGCCGTGAAGGACTGAAATCCTGCAGCGCCCGCAAGGTCCCCCTGCTCAAGAAAGCACATATACAGGAGGCCCGTCTGAAGTTTGCCAATGAACATCTGAATGATTCAGAGGTGAACTGGGTGAAAGTGTTGTGTTCAGATGAGACCAAAATTGAGCTCTTTGGCATCAACTCAACTCGCCGTGTTTGGAGGAGGAGGAATGCTGCCTATGACCCCAAGAACACCATCCCCACCATCGAACATGGAGGTGGAAACGTTATGCTTTGGGGGTGTTTTTCTGCTAAGGGGACAGGATAACTTCACCACATCAAAGGGACGATGGACGGGGCAATGTACCGTCAAATCTTGGGTGAGAACCTCCTTCCCTCAGCCAGGGCATTGAAAATGGGTCGTGGATGGGTATTCCAGCATGACAATGACCCAAAACACACGGCCAAGGCAACAAAGGAGTGGCTCAAGAAGAAGCACATTAAGGTCCTGGAGTGGCCTAGCCAGTCTCCAGCCCTTAATCCCATAGAAAATCTGTGGAGGGAGCTGAAGGTTCGAGTTGCCAAACGTCAGCCTCGAAACCTTAATGGTTTGGAGAAGATCTGCAAAGAGGAGTGGGACAAAATCCCTCCTGAGATGTGTGCAAACCTGGTGGCCAACTACAAGAAACGTCTGACCTCGGTGATTGCCAACAATGGTTTTGCCATCAAGTACTAAGTAATGTTTTGCAGAGGGGTCAAATACTTATTTCCCTCATTAAAATGCAAATCAATTTATAACATTTTTGACATGCGTTTTTCTGGATTTTTTTGTTGTTATTCTGTCTCTCACTGTTCAAATAAACCTACCATTAAAATTATAGACTGATCATTTCTTTGTCAGTGGGCAAACGTACAAAATCAGCAGGGGATCAAATACTTTTTTCCCTCACTGTAGCTATGGAAAATTGCAAGTGTTGCTACAGCTCAACAACATTGCTGCCCTGAATTTAGCTGGTGCTATCGATAAAGCACAGTGGGAGAAGAAAGACATTTCTGGAGGACAATGTCAAGCTAACTCACATGCGTTTACATGTGAATTCTTAAAGAGATGGGTGGGGCTAAGGCTTAAGAGGGTGTGAACAATGTTGAATGGGCGTAAACGAAGAAGAGCTCTCTAGCAAATGTGAAAATCTCCTTATAATCTTTCAAGGGTATTTTCTCCTACTTGTGGTTTTACAAGTTTATAATTTTTCAAAGCAGCATAATTTTCCCATGTTTCCTCTGTCAACTACAGTGTATGATATACCGTAAAGCCAACATTTGACTTAAACTTAGATAGAGATGTGCCGTCACAAATTAAACAGCTGAAGCAAGCACACACATTTTCTTCAGGAAATGTACCTTTTCTAGTTGAGATTTAGAATCTCATTTTCAAGACTTGTGTTTACCCCACCACTTAACCCATGCCATTTATAGAAATGTGTATCTTATCAGGTTCAAGGTAGTAAAGATGTGATTTGATTGATGGCTATTTTCTAGGTAACAATGCTGTTGACCATGAACAAGTGCTCCATTCAAGATTCTGAGAACATCCAGAATACCTGCTTCAAGTTAAACTCCTTGCAGCTTCGAACGCTGATGACCAGCTACCTCTACGATACCAACGAGCCCCGCATTCCCCCTGTGAGTCCTAGCCAAGTCCTTCAATTAGTAATTAATTGTTTGTAAACATTTATAAACATTTATGGGCATTTATAAACATTATAAGCATTGTAAATCATACTGTGGGTATATGTATTTGTATGTGTATTTTATATGTATATTTCTCAAATAAAACCAATCAACATCAAATAAATGATAAAGCATTTATAATGGCTTATTCATGAAAGTTATTGTAAAGTGTAACCAAAAACACAGGTTTTTCAAATATCCTTCATGTCTTTTTCCTCTGCCCTTTCAGGGTGTGATTGACAGGGTGGTGGCGGCTGCAGAGGCCAGTGCTGATGAGGTGTTGCGTAATGAAGGGCAGGACCTCCAGCTGGAGGAGGGGCTAGACCTCCACCTGCCCTTCCTGCTCCCTGAGGAAGGCTACTCTTGTGACACGGTCAGGGGCATCCCACAGGGCTTCAGAGAGTTCCTGGAACCTATCTGCCGCAAAGGTACTGTAGTAAACTGCTTTTTAAAAACGTTTTTAATGTGATTACGCTTGCATTCAACTTTTTTTGTCATTAAGGTTTGCTGAACTTTGACTAATTAGTTTCAGTATAAAACAGACTAAACTGGTATAAAACATTTGCCTTGTTGAGGCATTATCCAGGATGATAAAAGGCTATATTGTAGGTAAAATGCATGATACACGTGACACAAAACAATGCACTCACTGTACAGCATGCATTGTGTGTTGTGTCTGTGTATAGTTATCTAAATAGGCTGTGCTCTCTCTTCCTATAGGTCTCTGCACTCTGATCTCTCACCCCCACTCTGGTGGCGCCTGGACCATCTTCTTCAACAGAGCAAACAATTTCTCTGCACAGGACGCAAACCTGGTACACTTTTTAAAAAACATATCCATATTTTTAACATATCCATCTGTAATACCTCTTTCTTATTGTGATCTCTTCTCTGTTTCTTTCATTTAGCCACTGCATAGAGAACCTGATGTTGTGACTATTAAACTGAAGAAACCCTTGAACAGTGGAATGGGGGTCAGCATCGTGGCGGCCAAAGTACAAATTAATTAATTAATCCATCCATCTATCCATCCATCCATCCATCCATCCATCCATCCATCCATCCATCCATTTATTCATTCATTTTCCATCCATCCATCCATCCATTAATTAATTCATTAATTCATCCAACAATCAGTGACAAGAATCCATCTTTTGCCCCATCTACAGGGAGCAGGACAAGACAACCTTGGGATTTACATCAAGTCTATAGTCAAGGGAGGACCAGCAGAAATGGTTAGAAAACTATAGTACAATTCAAATAATGCCTGTTGACTGGATGCAGTATGTAATAACATTTCGATACATTTGAATGAACATCATGGATATCTCATAAAAAATCTTATGTTCCACATGTGTTTCCATGCTGTTGTGTTGGACAGGATTGCAGGTTAACTGCTGGGGACCAGTTGCTGTGTGTGGATGGACACAGTCTCGTGGGACTCTCACAGGAAAGGTAGATAACATTCTAACTTTCTACATTCAGATCAGAGTTGAGCAGTTGGAAATCCCGCTCATCGCGCTCCATGTCATTTCCAACCACTCCGCTAAAAACTGCTCGTAGCTCACAGGAAAGAAAACTGCTGCTCCAAATTCGCTCCATTCATTAAAATCACAATTTAATCAACACCCATCTATTTTTGTGACTACCTGGACCTACCATTTCGTTTTGAAGTATTGAAGTATTGAGCCTAAGAAGGAACGAAAATGAATTATTTGGGCTATATTATTTCAATTATTTCAAGGCTATAGCCTACAAAGAAATACATTGTGAAGCATTTGCGAGTGTGACAATAGGCTGGTAGCGACATAAAGCGCTCAGCATTTAAACAACATTTAGTTGTATTAAATCATTATAGTCTATAAATTTCGCATATAGGCTGTTACTTAGAATTAAAAGATAAATGACTTTTTAGTGCCTTTTGAATTTGTGAGAGTGTGATTTGAAGGAGTCAGGCGCAGGAGGGTAAATCACAGAATACAGAGTTTATTCCGTAGTGCACAGTTAAGCTGGATAGCGTCAACAGTCCAGTGCGCAAAACAGGCGCACTGGAACAAATACAGGCACACAGGGAAAATATACCTCGGCAATACAAAGTACAGGTAGCTCCACCGAGCTACACTCATCTCACATGAAACAATCACCCATAAGGACAAGGGGGCAGAGGGAACACTTATACATGTACTAATGAGGGGAATATGAACCAGGTGTGTGTAATTGACAAGAGAAGACAAATGGAATGATGAGATATGGAGTGGCAGTGGCTAGAAGGCCGGTGACGACGAACGCCGAAGCCTGCCCGAACAAGGAGGGGAGGCAGCTTCGGAGGAAGTCGTGACAGAATTCGTTTTTAGAAACATTAGTTTGGCCAATCTGTGGCTTCAGGCTCATGCGATGATGCCTGGACAGCAGGCCAGCAGAGGAGAATATCCTCTCCACACTTGCAGAGCCACTGGGGATGAGACAACAACTGCAATTGGACAATAGAACAAATAGGGCTGAGCTTGCTTCATGCAGGGTGCATAATCTATAAATAAAACGTTTTTCACACAGTATACACTACCGGTCAAAAGTTTTAGAACACCTACTCATTCAAGGGTTTTTCTTTATTTTTACTATTTTCTACATTATAGAATAATAGTGAAGACATCAAAACTATGAAATAACACATATGGAATCATGTAGTAACCAAAAAAGTGTAAAACAAATCAAAAAAAAAAAAGCCACCATTTGCCTTGATGACAGCTTTGCACACTCTTGGCATTCTCGCAACCAGCTTCATGAAGTAGTCACCTGGAATGCATTTCAATGAACAGGTGTGCCTTCTTAAAAATTAATTTGTGGAATTTCTTTCCTTAATGCGTTCGAGCCAATCAGTTATGTTGTGACAAGGTAGGGGGGTATATAGAAGATAGCCCTATTTGGTAAAAGTCCATATTATGGCAAGAAAAGCTCAAATAAGCAAAGTGAAACGACAAACTCTCTTCATCCTCCTCCTTCTAGATTAGGGAGGCTAAAGCCTCACGTACTCAATGCTCTCTCTCTCTATATATCTCTATTCTCTCTTCTTATCTATATCTATCTCTATTCTATAGCTGTATCTATCTATATCTCTCTATATCTTCTCTATATCATTCTATCTCTTCTCTTAGCTATAATATATCTAATATATCTCTCGTCCTCTCTCTCTCTCTCTCTCTCTCTCTCTTCTCGCTTCTCTCTATCTCTCTCTTCTCTCTCTCTATCTCTCTCTTCTCTCTCTCTCTCTCTCTCTCTCTCTCCGCTCTCTTTCTGTCACTAGGTCATGCAGTATCATTGGTTGGCATTGGGAAATGACACAAAATTAACACATTCAAATTGCTAGAGCTTTTTGTTTTACATTGTCTTTCACTTTGAAGACACTATCTACGAGTGGCGATGGCCCGTAGTAAAGTAGACAGTTGACATGGGCCACAATCTAGTAAGTGATGCCATCGCAACATGGCTCCTCATGTTTAACTCTCTCTCTGCCACTCAAATTGATGTTGCCTCATACCACTTTCGAACATTGTGCTCATATATAGTAATCTCATCTTCTTTCACAAAAGAATGCAGTTCTCCAAGCTTGCTGAAACTATCCCGAAAGGTAGGTTTTCATTTTGAGCTCTGACCCCTACAGAAAGATACTGTTGTTAGAGTGCTGACTGTGATAAAAAGAGTATCCTATAGATTCTTAATTCCCATCCTCATTCAGAATAAATGTGTAACTGGTAACAATATAAAGATATTGAAGCACATTTGATTACTATGCTAGTAGTTATTGCATAAGAAAATGTTATGTGTGGGGTTCCCATAGTTTAATCCAGTAAAATAACGTTATATAGTGCCTCTTTCAGCCCTTATGCTGCCTGTCACCCAGTCATTTATGATGCAGTTATATCACTTTATTAAGGCCACTAAATGTCTATAGGCCTATCATGCAAACATTTCATGAAAACAAACACTTCTAACTCATTACGTTTGTACAAATACAAAGCTTTCAATCAATCATTCACTGGTGTGTCCATCACTATAATTTCCATTCTGACATTACATGTATCCATAACCGAGTCGTTCTATACCATCAAAGTACAGTTCTAGGCAAAAAAAATCAGATGAAAAAAAATAAATGTAAAGAAATGTGTTAAAAATAATAATAATCACAAAAGTAGTGCACTGGGCCTTTACTAGTCCTGTATTAGCGGACCGATATAGCAGTCTGTAGCGCAGGAATTATTTTGTCCTCAATCCACCAAAGCCTTTAGCGGGGACACACCTGTCAGAATTATAGGCTGTTTTCCTTTCTTCCTGAAGACTAGAACTACCTAACTAGCTGGTAAATGAGGCTTTTCCCCAAAGCATGTTGGCAAGACCGCTAATACATCCTCCCCTCGCACAAAGGCTCAAAATGCTTGAATTTGCTCCTTTTTTAATTCAATTCCTAAGTTGGTCATTACCATTTGGCAGTGTCGTCTCTCTATCTTCTTTTCAGAAAGCTCCATCACTGGGTTTTTCTCCCCACAGTTTTAGTTAGCTAGGCTAGCTAGCCAGCTAGCCTAACTTTAGCTTGGCTTGTTTACCTCTCTAGTGGGGGCGTAGCAAATTGACGAGGAAGCGTGGAGGGCGTTGCTCATACAAATAGCGTGCATATGAGAACCAATCAAAAAGTCGCTCAAAGTCACTAAAATGTTTAGCTAACCTCCCCTTTTACAAGCCCGAGATACTAGACCAGTGAGTCACAGCTCGCTGTGTAGTCATGTGGGTCGCGTGTCAGCCAGGCTAACTTTCAGGTCCTTTGTTAGTGTGACAGATAGAAAAACAGCTTCTATCTCAAGGCCATCAGACTGTTAAATAGCCATCACTAGCACATTAGAGGCTGCTGCTGCCTATTGAAATCACTGGCCACTTTAAGAAATGGAACACTAGTCACTTTAATAATGTTTACATATCTTGCACTACTCATCTCATATGTATATACTGTATTCTATTCTATAATATTCTACTTTATCTTAGTCCATGCCGCTCTGTCATTGCTTCTCCATATATGTATATATTCTTAAATTCCATTCCTTACTAGATTTGTGTGTATTGGGTATATGTTGTGAAATTGTTAGATATTACTTGTTAGATATTACTGCACTGTCGGAGCTAGAAGCACAAGCATTTCACTACACCTGCAATAACATCTGCTAAACACGTGTATGTGACAAATAACATTTGATTTGATTTGATTTATTGAAAAGCTGACTAACACATTTTTCACACTATTGCGTCGATCCAAGCCAGCCAAACTGTGCTGGCTCTGATATTTTTGTTTCACATGGTATTTCTCAGCACAGTCCCAGCAACTATGGTAGGTATAACCAGGCCAGCTCAGGACAGCTTGATTTGGCTTGGCTCATTTTGGCTAGTATTTTGCAACCCTAGATGCAGGTGACATTATGCTGGCTTGCAACGTGATGTGTAATTTATATTGGAATCCAGAATTATGATATCCAACAGTTGGAATTTTCATTCACCCGCAACCTGCATTCAGAATGACTGTCAGGGTTAGGAACATTGTGAGGAGACTGCTTAAACCAGTTAAACTGGAAAAAACATTTCAGTAATGGGTGCAAAAAATCTGACTGATGGATTAGTTTAGAAAAATTTACGTTATTTTCAGGTCCTTTGTTAGTGTGACATTTTTCTTTATGAAGGTCCGACAGATAACTATTCTGTCGTGAAACCTGATGTGATTGATTTGTTTTGGAAACAATCTGCAATAGTTAAAGCTGTTCAATGGTCATTTCAATTACACTGAAAAACAAATAAAGGATTATGCCTTGAAAACATGATGAATTGACAGTGATTGATGTGGTCTTATCTTGATTGTAGGGCAGCAGGCATAATGATGCGCACTGGGCCAGTTGTGACTCTACAGGTTGCTAAGCAGGAGGCAACGTACCATGGTCTGGCTGCCCTGCTAGATGAACCACATTCAGTAGCAACTACAGGTACGAGCAGAACAAAGGCAATATTCTCTCTGTATTGTTATCATTTCCCCCTGAACAGTCCCTCAACAGAGGTCTAATGATCGAAGACCAAAACCAAATTCAGATCATTTCATTTCATGGCTTCCTGTTAGTAGTTATTTTCCACAATGAATGGTAGGAATAGTCTTTCTCAATTAATAGTATATCTACACCTAGATTTTCTAGATCTAACCAACCTTTTTATGATTCCCCCAGATTTGGATGGTAGTGGCCCCACCAGCAGCAGCCATGCTAAGCCGAACGGCAAGGCCCTGATCCTGTATGATGGCATGGAGCAGAGTCCTGGGCCCTCAGGACTATGGGGTAATAACCACCATGGAGGGAACAGGAGACAGAGAGAACAGACCCTGCTGAAGAACAGACAGCTATACCGCTCCAACCCCAACATGATCAGTGAGTCTAACAATAGTGTTCTTATTAGGCCTATCATGCAAACGTTTGAAGTAAGTATGGCGCCGACGAAGATGGCGGCCTCGCGACTAGCTCTTAGGAAACTTTCAGTGTATTCGTCTAAAATAATTTAGACGAATACACTGAAACGGTGACTGAGTTTATCAGGAAGTGTATAGGTGATGTTGTGCCCACTGTGACTATTAAAACCTACCCTAACCAGAAACCGTGGATAGATGGCAGCATTCGTGCAAAACTGAAAGCGCGAACCACAGCATTTAACCATGGCAAGGTGACTGGGAATATGGCAGAATACAAACAGTGTAGCTACTCACTCCGCAAGGCAATTAAACTGGCAAAACATCAGTATAGAGACAAAGTGGAGTCGCAATTCAACAGCTCAGATGAGGCAGGGTCTACAGACAATCACGGACTACAAAAGGAAAATCAGCCACGTCGCCGACACTGACGTCTCGCTTCCAGACAAGCTAAACACCTTCTTCACCCGCTTTGAGGATAACACAGTGCCACCGACGAGGCCCACTACCAAGGACTGTAGCCTCTCCTTCTCCGTGGCCGACGTGAGTAAGACATTTAAGCATGTTAACCCCAGCAAGGCTGCCGGCCCAGACGGCATCCCTAGCCACGTCCTCAGAGCATGCGCAGACCAGCTGGTTGGTGTGTTTACGGACATATTCAATCTCTCCCTTTCCCAGTCTGCTATAGTCAATTCTTACTGTTCCTGTATTCAAGAAAGCAAAGGTAACTGAACTAAATGACTATCGCCCCGTAGCACTCACCTCTGTCATCATGAAGTGCTTTGAGAGACTAGTCAAGGATCATATCACCTCTACCTTACCTGTCGCCCTAGACCCACTTCAATTTGCTTACTGCCCCAATAGATCCACAGACGATGCAATCGCCATCACACTGCACACTGCCCTATCCTATCTGGACAAGAGGAATACCTATGTAAGAATGCTGTTCATTGACTATAGCTCAGCATTCAACACCATAGTACCCTCCAAGCTCATCATTAAGCTCGAGATCCTGGGTCTGAACCCCGCCCTGTGCAACTGGGAAAATAACCTCTCACTCAACGTCAACAAAACAAAGGAGATGATCGTGGACTTCAAGAAACAGCAGAGGGTGCACCCCCCTATCCACATTCACGGGACCGCAGGTGGAAAGCTTCAAGTTCCTTGGCGTACACATCACTGACAAACTGAAATGGTCCACCCACGCAGACAGTGTGGTGAAGAAGGCGCAACAGAGCCTCTTCAACCTCAGGAGGCTGAAGAAATTTGGCTTGGCACCTAAAACCCTCACAAACTTTTACAGATGCACAATTGAGAGCATCCTGTTAGGCTGTATCACAGCCTGGTACGGCAACTGCACCGCCCGCAACCGCAGGGCTCTCCAGAGGGTGGTGCAGTCTGCTGAACACATTCCCGGGCGCAAACTACCCGCCATCCAAGACACCTACAGCACCCGATGTCACAGGAAGGCCAAAAAGATCATCAAGGACATCAACCACCTGAGCCACTGCCTGTTCACCCCGCTATCATCCAGAAGACGAGGTTAGTACAAGTGCATCAAAGCTGGGACCGAGAAAATGAAAAACAGCTTCTATCTCAAGGCCATCAGACTGTTAAATAGCCATCACTAGCACATTAGAGGCTGCTGCTAACTATTGAAATCACTGGCCAGTGGCCACTTTAAGAAATGGAGCACTTTAATAATGTTTACATATCTTGCACTACTCATCTCATATGTTTATACTGTATTCTATTCTATAATATTCTTAGTCCATGCCGCTTTGTCATTGCTTGTCCATATATGTATATATTCTTAAATTCTATTCCTTACTTAGTTTTGTGTGTATTGGGTAAATGTTGTGAAACTGTTAGATATTACTTGGCTCTGTCATATCCTCACATGGCCTCTCCTATCATTGCTACGCTGACGATACACAACTAATCTTCTCCTTTCCCCCTTCTGATAACCAGGTGGCGAATCGCATCTCTGCATGTCTGGCAGACATATCAGTATGGATGACGGATCACCACCTCAAGCTGAACCCTGGCAAGACGGAGCTGCTCTTCCTCCCGGGGAAGGACTGCCCGTTCCATGATCTCGCCATCACGGTTGACAACTCCGCTGTGTCCTCCTCCCAGAGTGCGAAGAGCCTAGGCGTGACCCTGGACAACACCCTGTCGTTCTCCGCCAACATCAAGGCGGTGACCCGCTCCTGCAGGTTCATGCTCTACAACATTCGGAGAGTACGACCCTGCCTTACACAGGAAGCGGCACAGGTCCTAATCCAGGCACTTGTCATCTCCCGTCTGGACTACTGCAACTCGCTGTTGGCTGGCCTCCCTGCCTGTGCCATTAAACCCCTACAACTCATCCAGAATGCCGCAGCCCGTCTGGTGTTCAACCTTCCCAAGTTCTCTCACGTCACCCCCCTCCTCCGCACACTCCACTGGCTTCCAGTTGAAGCTCGCATCCGCTACAAGACCATGGTGCTTGCCTATGGAGCAGTGAGGGGAACGGCACCTCTGTACCTTCGGGCTCTGATCAGTCCCTACACCCAAACGAGGGCATTGCGTTCATCCACCTCTGGCCTGCTGGCTCCCCTTCCTCTGCGGAAGCATAGTTCCCGCTCAGCCCAGTCAAAACTGTTCGCTGCTCTGGCACCCCAATGGTGGAACAAGCTCCCTCACGACGCCAGGACAGCGGAGTCACTCACCACCTTCCGGAGGCATTTGAAACCCCACCTCTTTAAGGAATACCTGGGATAGGATAAAGTAATCCTTCTACCCCCCCCCCCCCCCCCCCCCCCCCCCCCCCCAAAAAAATTGTAAAGTGGTTATCCCACTGGCTATAGGGTGAACGCACCAATTGGTGAGTCGCTCTGGATAAGAGCGTCTGCTAAATGACGTAAATGTGCCCTTGAGCAAGGCACTTAACCCTAATTGCTCCTGTAAGTCGCTCTGGATAAGAGCGTCTGCTAAATGACTAAAATGTAAATGTAAAATGTAGATATTACTGCACTGTCGGAGCTAGAAGAACAAGCATTTCGCTACACCCGCAATAACCTTGCTAAACACGTGTATGTGACAAATAAAATTTGATTTGATTATATTTATTGAAAAGCTGACTAACACCCTTTTCACACTATTGCGTCGATCCAAGCCAGCCAAACTGTGCTGGCTCTGATATTTTTGTTTCACATGGTATTTCTCAGCACAGTCCCAGCAACTATGGTAGGTATAACCAGGCCAGTTCAGTACAGCTTGATTTGGCTTGGCTCAGTTTGGCTAGTATTTTGCAACCCTAGATGCAAATGACATTATGCTGGCTTGCAACATGATGTGTAATTTATATTGGAATCCAGAATTAGGATATCCAACAGTTGGAATTTTCATTCACCCGCAACCTGCATTCAGAATGACTGTCAGGGTTAGGAACATTGTGAGGAGACTACTTAAACCAGTTAAACTGGAGAAAAAAAACATTTCAGTAACGGGTGCAAATCTGAAAAATGTACGTCATTTATCTTTGTGTTGCATAAGCAACAACCTGCAGTAGAGCGTGCTGGGAAATATGATACAAATGATTTCTAAGGGTATAATAATAATACTGTAGTCTTTTTACGGTACCAAATACTTTTTTTTTTACCATTGTTTTATAATAACTTACAGGTACAGTGCCTTGCAAAAGTATTCATCCCCCTTGCCATTTTTCCTATTTTGTTGCATTACAACCTGTAATCTAAATGGATATTTATTTGGATTGCATGTAATGGACATTCACAAAATAGTCCAAATTGGTGAAGTGAAATGAAAAAAATAACTTGTTTTTAAAACATTATACAAAATAAATAACGGAAAAGTGTTCAAATCAAATTGGCCACATGCGCCGAATACAACACGTGCAGACATTACAGGGAAATGCTTACTTACAGCCCTTAACCAACAGTGCATTTATTTTTAACAAAAAAGTAAAAATGAAACAACAACAAAAAAGTGTTGAGAAAAAAAGAGCAGAAGTAAAATAAAATAACAGTAGGGAGGCTACATATACAGGGGGGTACCGGTGCAGAGTCAATGTGCGGGGGCACCGGCTAGTTGAGGTAGTTGAAGTAATATGTACAGTGGGGGAAAAAAGTATTTAGTCAGCCACCAATTGTGCAAGTTCTCCCACTTAAAAAGATGAGAGAGGCCTGTAATTTTCATCATAGGTACACGTCAACTATGACAGACAAAATGAGGAAAAAAAATCCAGAAAGTCACATTGTAGGATTTTTAATGAATTTATTTGCAAATTATGGTGGAAAATAAGTATTTGGTCAATACCAAAAGTTTCTCAATACTTTGTTATATACCCTTTGTTGGCAATGACACAGGTCAAACGTTTTCTGTAAGTCTTCACAAGGTTTTCACACACTGTTGCTGGTATTTTGGCCCATTCCTCCATGCAGATCTCCTCTAGAGCAGTGATGTTTTGGGGCTGTTGCTGGGCAACACGGACTTTCAACTCCCTCCAAAGATTTTCTATGGGGTTGAGATCTGGAGACTGGCTAGGCCACTACAGGACCTTGAAATGCTTCTTACGAAGCCACTCCTTCGTTGCCCGTGCGGTGTGTTTGGGATCATTGTCATGCTGAAAGACCCAGCCACGTTTCATCTTCAATGCCCTTGCTGATGGAAGGAGGTTTTCACTCAAAATCTCACGATACATGGCCCCATTCATTCTTTCCTTTACACGGATCAGTCGTCCTGATCCCTTTGAAGATAAACAGTCCCATAGCATGATGTTTCCACCCTAATGCTTCACAGTAGGTATGGTGTTCTTTGGATGCAACTCAGCATTCTTTGTCCTCCAAACACGACGAGTTGAGTTTTTATCAAAAAGTTATATTTTGGTTTCATCTGACCATATGACATTCTCCCAATCCTCTTCTGGATCATCCAAATGCACTCTAGCAAACTTCAGACGGGCCTGGACATGTACTGGCTTAAGCAGGGGGACACGTCTGGCACTGCAGGATTTGAGTCCCTGGCGGCGTAGTGTGTTACTGATGGTAGGCTTTGTTACTTTGGTCCCAGCTCTCTGCAGGTAATTCACTAGGTCCCCCCGTGTGGTTCTGGGATTTTTGCTCACCGTTCTTGTGATCATTTTGACCCCACGGGGTGAGATCTTGCGTGGAGCCCCAGATCTATGGAGATTATCAGTGGTCTTGTATGTCTTCCATTTCCTAATAATTGCTCCCACAGTTGATTTCTTCAAACCAAGCTGCTTACCTATTGCAGATTCAGTCTTCCCAGCCTGGTGCAGGTCTACAATTTTGTTTCTGGTGTCCTTTGACAGCTCTTTGGTCTTGGCCATAGTGGAGTTTGGAGTGTGACTGTTTGAGGTTGTGGACAGGTGCCTTTTATACTGATAACAAGTTCAAACAGGTGCCATTAATACAGGTAACGAGTGGATGACAGAGGAGCCTCTTAAAGAAGAAGTTACAGGTCTGTGAGAGCCAGAAATCTTGCTTGTTTGTAGGTGACCAAATACTTATTTTCCACCATAATTTGCAAATAAATTCATTAAAAATCCTACAATGTGATTTCTTGGAGAAAAAAATCTCAATTTGTCTGTCATAGTTGATGTGTACCTATGATGAAAACTACAGGCCTCTCTCATCTTTTTAAGTGGGAGAACTTGCACAATTGGTGGCTGACTAAATACCTTCCCCCCCACTGTACATGTGGGTAGAGTTAAAGTGACAATGCATAAATAATGTATACATATGTATGCGTGCATATGTATTCACCCCCTTTGCTATGAAGCCCCTAAATAAGATCTGGTGCAACCAATTACCTTCAGAAGTCACATAATTAGTTAAATAAAGTCCACCTGTGTGCAGTCTAAGTGTCACATGATCTGTCACATGATCTCAGTAAATATACACCTGTTCTGAAAGGCCCCAGAGTCTGCAACACCACTAAGCAAGGGGCACCACCAAGCAAGCGGCACCATGAAGACCAAGGAGCTCTCCAAACAGGTCAGGGACAAAGTTGTGGAGAAGTACAGATCAGGGTTGGGTTTTTAAAAAATATCAGAAACTTTGAACATCCCACGGAGCACCATTAAATCCATTATAAAAAAAATGGAAAGAATAGGGCACCACAACAAACCTGCCAAGAGAGTGCCACCCACCAAAACTTAGACCAGGCAAGGAGTGTATTAATCAGAGACACAACAAAGAGACCAAAGATAACCCTGAAGGAGCTGCAAAGTTCCACAGCCGAGATTGGAGTATCTGTCCATAGGACCACTTTAAGCCGTACACTCTACAGAGCTGGGCTTTACGGACGAGTGGCCAGAAAAAAAGCCATTTCTTAAAGAAGAAAATAAGCAAACGCGTTTGGTGTTCGCCAAAAGGCATGTGGGAGACTCCCCAAACATATGGAAGAAGGTACTCTGGTCAGATGAGACTAAAATTGAGCTTTTTGGCCATCAAGGAAAACGCTATGTCTGGCGCAAACCCAACACCTCTCATCACCCCGAGAACACCATCCCCACAGTGAAGCATGGTGGTGGCAGCATCATGCTGTGGGGATGTTTTTCATCGGCAGGGACTGGGAAACTGGTCAGAATTGAAGGAATTATGGATGGCGCTAAATACAGGGACATTCTTGAGGGAAACCTGTTTCAGTCTTCCAGAGATTTGAGACTGGGACAGAGGTTCACCTTCCAGCAGGACAATGACCCTAAGCATACTGCTAAAGCAACACTCGAGTGGTTTAAGGGGAAACATAACATTTAAATGTCTTGGAATGGCCTTGTCAAAGCCCAGACCTCAATCCAATTGAGAATCTGTGGTATGACTTAAAGGTTGCTGTACACCAGCGGAACCCATCCAACTTGAAGGAGCTGGAGCAGTTTTGTCTTGAAGAATGGGCAAAAATCCCAGTGGCTAGATGTGCCAAGCTTATAGAGACATCCCTCAAGAGACTTGCAGCTGTAATTGCTGCAAAAGGTGGCTTTACAAAGTATTGAATTTGGATCTTCAAATTATTTTGCATCTTCAAAGTGGTAGGCATGTTGTGTAAATCAAATGATACAAACCCCCAAAAAAATCAATTTGAATTCCAGGTTGTAAGGCAACAAAATAGGAAAAATGCCAAGGGGGGTGAATACTTTCACAAGCCACTGTATGTCAAAGATAATAAAACAAAAATGCTATAGTGAACACACAGTAATGTCCGCTACAGTATTCTGCAGTACATACTACGGCATTCACTGCAGTGTTTGTGCAGACCTTAGTCTGTAGAAACACTACAGTGAATACTACACTCTTAGATAAAAGGGTTCCAAAAGGGTTCTTCGGCTATAGGGTTCTACCTTACACCAAAAGGTTTCTAAGTGGAACCAAAAAGGGTTCTTCAAAGGGTTCTCCTATGGGGACAGCCGAAGAACCCTTTTAGGTTCTAGACAGCACCTTTTTTCTAAGATTGTATAGTTTTTATAGCATAATATACTATAGTATTTCTTCATGTGGGAGTAGTGTGAAAAACTATTTTTAAAGATGTTTCAGGGCAGTTCTGTCATTTTCTTTCTTTCCTCGCTTGTTCTAGGCCCAGAAGTAGAACCAGTTGATCCTGTCATCCCAACAGACGGTAAAATCACTGCAGTCTCCACCAGCAACCTTCTGTGCTCTGATGTAAGTAACTTACAAAAATACATGGGTTTTATATAGTGCTTTTCAAGGACCCAAAAATGCTTAAACAGCGGGTTAATACTTGTACTGGCTTAGTGTGTCTGTCTACATTGAATCTGTAATGGTATAAAAACGCAGTCACCTTCTTAATGTTCCCCCTCAGATGTACCACAGGGAATACCTGACCCTACCAGCCCCTAGATCTGAGGACAAGAAGACCGTAGCCTTTGAACTCCCACCTCAGGGGCCCAGAGTCTCGTTTAATCTAGATGGACAGATCTCCAACAAGAGGACATTGATGGTATGAGTAGCAACATCTTATCCTTTATAAAGCAGTACAACCCCCATTATCTTAAACCAACTATTTAAAGAATGGACCATTTCATATATGCAATTGTTACACTTACACTTAATCAACTTAAATGCCAACAGAAAAATAATTGAATATTTCCCTTCCATAGCGGCAGGCCCTTTCACAGGAGAACCTGTGCATGGAGAATGATCGCCCCCTAGTGGACAATATACATAATGCATGGAACCAGAACCAGCAGGAGAGCTACTACTCCTCTTTTCCTATGAAGCCTAATATCTCTACCCACCACATACATTACAACCATACTGTCAGCCTCTCCACTAAGACCCAACAGAGCAGCTGCAACACAGGGTCTGGCTACTGGAGAACCCCTACGTCACACAACCCTTCGTCTGCCATCCAGCCAATACGCATAGACATCCCTGCTACACGGCTTTCCAACACCCAGCCACGCACTCCAATGACCACCTTCCAACAAACTCCAACTTTACTGCCCGTGAAGTTGAACCAAATCCCTGAGGGTTATGGCCAGGGGCAAGCCCTCCTCAGCAATCAAAAACAGGGGTTTCATTCTCAACTGCCAGCCCAGCATCGCGATGCTACATGTCCTCCTCCATCCTCTGTGTCCATGAGACAACCTCAGCCCTCACTCTCATCATCACCGAAGACCCAACAACAACAAGCCCCGAGGAGGGTGCAACCAGCGAAGTCCCAACTGTTCCCAACCCAGTTAAAAGACACATCCCTCCAGAGACCTCCAGCTAAACCACAACCAGGGGCCACCCCAGGACATCAGGTACAGAATTTATTTGTAGTCAAAATTCAACTGTTTAATACACATAACAGTGAAAACTCAAATGCATGTATGAATAATGAATGTACAAATAAATAGTATACACTTCCTGTATAAAATACACAATTAATGCCGAATTTCGAAATCAGGACCAATACTTCACCATGAATAAAGAGCCACCATCAGAAGGCAAAAATGGTCTGTCTCCAGACCCATGGAAGAGGGATGCACGGGAGAAGCAGCAGAAGCAGCAGAGACTACAGGTAACATAATAATAATTAACAACTATTTGAAGTGTGTCTACTGTATTATACTGTACAGTATTGTGTTGTATTGTATTGATTTTGTGTATTTTGTGTTTTTGATGTGTTACTGACCTCACAAAATGAATTTCCATGCAAATGGAGAATAATGTAACGTATTGTCCATCAAAATTGAAATGTGTTTGTTGCTGTCTGTTCTTACATGGAAATGTGTATTTTTGCCGTCTGTTCCTTGATCTAGGTGGTCGACCTGTTGGAACAGGAGGTCCAGGATCTGCAGGCTAAAGCCCAGCTCACACCAGAGGAGACCGACAGGCTCCGTAGACTCAACCTGGAGTGGCAATTTCAACAGAGACTGCAGGAGTTCCAACAGAATGGAGACAATGATGATGATGATGATGATGAAGATAGGGACACGTCAACAGGAGGAAATGTTCAAGAGTCGAATGAACTCAACGAGAACTTTGATAAAAAGTGGTCGAAAGAGTAAGTTTCAACTTCATTTGAATGTACATTTGTATCCCACAAAAACAGTTTTTCCCCCCAACAATGGCCCTGGTTAAACCAAAAGTTAAATTACATAATTTGTTCTGAAAGTAATGGATCATGATGTATAACAGACCATGATATACAGTATAGTTAACCTATAGGTATTGATCTTCTCAATTACATCCATATGTGTGGGTTATTGATTGGTTGCAGAGGCCAGGAAGAGAACACCTTCAGAGGTGATGCAGCACCTGAGAATCTCACCTTTAAGGAGCGCCAACGTCTCTTCTCCCTCGGATCAAACGCCTCCATCAAAGTCAAAACCTTGTAAGATGAGGATGCTGAGAAGTTGGCCTCAACATTCGGTCAAGGCTCATCGATCAAGGCTCAACCTTTTATAAGATACAGTAGAAACCAATCAGAAGATATTAGAATTGATATTATAATCTATATTCTGATGAAAAATGTGGAGTATTTTAGTGATTTCTCAGCATATTTACTTCTCTTTTCCCCTAATTGATCTTTACATCTAGACTGTCAAATGCAAATGTTCATGGGTCTGTTATTTGTTTACTTGCAATGAAAACTTAGGTAGGTAGATGCTTTTTTGCAAACATGGATTTTTTAAATAAATTAAGATTTTATTAATATTTTTGCAAAATGTACAACATCAGTCATGGTATACATTACGGATGTACCGTACATAACGAGGCTGCTGAGGGGAGGACGGCTCATAATAATGACTGGAAAGGAGCGAATGGAATGGCATCAAATACATGGAAACCATGGAAACCACGTGTCTTATGTATTTTCTACCATTCCACTAATTCCGCTCCAGCCATTACCACGAGCATGTCTTCCCCAATTGAGGTGCCACCAACCTCCTGTGCCGTACACTTCCTTTACAACTCAGGACACCCTACTTGTGTTAATAGTCCACTATTTTTAGGGGTGACTCCTCAAGAGTCCACGTGTACAGTAATCTGAGCCCTTCTGATCTCATTGATGATATCGATGCCTGAGATTTTCCTGGTCCAGCATGGTCCCTGTCCTGCCATGGCCATGCATACAGTAGACAGCTACACTAGACATACAGAAGGCTATGTGTTTATACACATCATTGGTTGAGAATAATTCGCTTGTGTTCACTGTCCAGACCTGTCACATTGAAATCAGTGGTCAATGTTAATTTAGTTTCATGTGTCAGAAATAAGAAGTCCTCTTTGATGTATTAACAGAATAATGGGTTACTGAATACTTTTTAACTGAATCCTTATATCGCCTTTGGCATTTATTCCTCCACAATGGACAGAAACCTCAGAATTTGCTCTGGAGTTGGTGGGGTGAGGTTTAAGAGGTTTTCTCACACAAGCACACCAGGTGTTGTATGCCATGTCCAGATTAAATTGAGATTTTGTGTTCACTACCAGAATTCCTATAATGTCAACGTTTTTCGAAATGTTTACAAATTCATTAAAAGTGAAAAGCTGAAATGTCTTAAGTCAATAAGTATTCAATCCCTTTGTTATGACAATCCTAAATAAGTTCAGGAGTCACATAATAAGTTGCATTGACCCACTCTGTGTGCAATAATAGTGTTTAACATGATTTTTGAATGACTTCCTCATCTCAGTACCCCACACATACAATTATCTGTAATGTCCCTCTTGAGCAGTGAATTTCAAACACAGATTCAACCACAAAGACAAGGGAGGTTTTCCAATGCCTCGCAAAAAGGGCACCTATTGGTAGACATTGAATATCCCTTTGATCATGGTGAAGTTATTAATTACACTTTGGATGATGTATCAATACACCCAGTCACTACAAAGATACAAGGGTCTTTCCTAACTCAGTTGCCGAAGGAGAAGGAAACCGCTCAGGGATTTCACCATGAGGCCAATGGCGACTTTAAAACAGTTACAGAGTTTAATGGCTGCAATAGGAGAAAACTGAGGATGGATCAACAACATTGTAGTTACTCCACAATACTAACCTAAATGACTGAGTGTAATGAAGGAAGTCTGTACAGAATAAAAATTATTCCAAAACATGCATCATGTTTGCAATAAAGCACTAAAGAAAAACTTTAGTGCATGTAACCGTGCTCTGATGAGGGGATTCTCAGAGACGGAAGAGGACGCTAAGTAGACCAGACCCAGCTGATATTGCACTAGCGTCTATGGGAAAGCCACCCCCTTAAGTAGACCATAATTCAAAATTTATTTCAATGGTAAACGGCCTGAGTGAACTATCTTAATTTATCCACCATCTTTGGGATTCTATTAAACTGGCCTGGGTTGCACCAGGCAATGGCCCATCACATGACTGGGCAAACCGGTGAGGGAGGCACACCCTGCTCAAATTGAACAGTAATCTGTGCTCTGGCTGTCATGTTGTCAACAAGGCAGTATGATGCATCATTCAGAAACGTACAACTTTTCTTTTCCATAAAATATATGTTAGAATTTTCTAACTGGGAAACAGGCCCGGCTCCAGGATGACATGCTACTGGTCACATTATTTTTTGTAAAGTTCATGCAGTCGACATGTAAGCGCAAGTCTGATTTTTTCTGGCCCCAGAATGCAACACACTTCTAAAGGCGGTGACCAACGATGGTCAACGACCTTACAAAAGTGAACAGCTCAAACGCGCCCAATCATTAGACTGTTTTTGTTTGACCCATGCATGACCGAAGACAGGTGTCTCTGAATGGCGATTTTCTGTATTTATTAAGTCCCATCAGTAGCCTGATTTCAGATGTGTCCATGTAAAGAGGATTATTAGGGAAATCGTTCTTCTTGCAAAGCATGTAAACGTTTTAAACGAACTATTATATTAACCAGACTATCTATATATATATATATATATATATATATATATATATATATAAGGAAGCTGATGTTCTGTTTGAAACTGATAGTCATCGAGTAGATATCAGTGAGAAGGAATGGATTACAGTGGCAAACAAAAAAAGGAAATAAGAGAAGTAAAGTGGTCGTAGTAAATCCAAACTTAGTTCTGACTTTTGTTGGAATGAGGGTTTTGGACCGATGGCGTTATCTGGGAGATCCGTTTGATGTCTCAATGAAAATCATAGATGCGTTGGATGAGGTTGTGTCAGTGAGGATAACAATTAGTGGGCTTATTTTGTTTGTTGGTGTGTCAGAGGAGCAGAAGGAGCGTGCTTTGCACCTGGATTAGAATGTGTTGTGTGAGGATATGCGAAACCAGTGTGATAAATGTAAACTATTTGGACATGTGTCAAGTGTGTGTAGATGGGAGGAGTATCGTATGCCAGTTGAGGCTAAACAAATTTTATTTGTCACATGCGCTGAATACAACAGGTGTAGACCTTACCGTGAAACGCTTACTTACAAGCCCTTAACCAACAATGCAGTTTTAAGAAAATAAGAGTTAAGAAACTGTTTACTAAATGAACAAAAGTAAAATAAGTAACACAATAAAATAACAATAACGAGGCTATATACAGGGGGTACCGGTACCGAGTCAATGTGCGGGGGTACAGGTTAGTCGAGGTAATTGAGGTAATATGTACATGTAGGTAGGGGTAAAGTGACTATGCATAGCTAATAAACAGCAAGTAGCAGCAGCATTAAAAATGGGAGGGGTCAAATGGGGGGGTCAATGCAAATAGTCCATTTGATTAGCAGTCTTATGGCTTGGGGGTAGAATCTGTTAAGGAGCCTTTTGGACCTAGACTTGGCACTATGGCACCGCTTGCCATGCGGTAGCAGAGAGAACAGTCTATGGCTTCGGTGGCTGAAGTTTTTTGGGCCTTCCTCTGACACCGCCTAGTATAGAGGTCCTGGATGGCAGGACGCTTGGCCCCAGTGATGTACTGGGCCATACGTACTACCCTCTGTAGTGCCTTACGGTCGGATGCCGAGCAGTTGCCATACCAGGCGGTGATGCAACTGGTTAGGATGTTCTCGATGGTGCAGCTGTAGAACTATCTGGGACCCATGCCAAATCTTTTCAGTCTACTAAGGGGGAATAGGCGTTATCGTGCCCTCTTCACAACTGTCTTAGTGTGTTTGGACCATGATAGTTTGTTGGTGATGTGGACACCCAGGAACTTGAAGCTCTTGACCCGCTCCACTACAGGCCCTCCCTTTCCTGTAGTCGACGATCAGCTCCTTTGTCTTGCTCACATTGAGGGAGAGGTTGTTGTCCTGGAACCACACTGCCAGGACTCTGATCTCCTCCTTATAGACTGTCTCATCGTTGTCGGTGATCAGGCCTACTACCGTTGTGTCGTCAGAAAACGGAATGATGATGTTGGAGTCATGCTTGGCCATGCAGTCATGGGTGAACAAGGAGTACAGGAGGGACTAAGCGCCCACCCCTGAGATGCCCCCGTGTTGAGGATTAGCGTGGCAGATGTGTTGTTGCCTACCCTTACCACCTGGGGGCGGCCCGTCAGGAAGTCAAGGATCCAGTTGCAGAGGTAGGTGTTTAGTCCTAAGTTGCTTAGTGGGCACTATTACATTTAAGTAATTTAGCAGACACTCTTATCCAGAGCAACTTACAGTTAGTGAGTGCATACATTTTTCATACTGGCCCCCCGTGGGAATCAAACCCACAACCCTGGCGTTGCAAGCGCCATGCTCTACCAACAGAGCTACAGGAGGCCTTATGGTGTTGAACGCTGAGCTGTAGTCAATGAATAGCATTCTCACATAGGTGTTCCTTTTGTCCAGGTTTGAAAGGGCAGTGTGGAGTGCAATAGAGATTGCATCATCTGTGGATCTGTTGGGGTGGTATGCAAATTGGAGTGGGTCTAGGGTTTCTGGGATAATGGTGTTGATCGTTAGCCATGACCAGCCTTTCAAAGCACTTCATGGCTACAGACGTGAGTTCTATGGGTCAGTAGTCATTTAGGCAGGTTACCTTAGTGTTCTTGGGCACAGGGACTATGGTGGTCTGCTTGAAACATGTTGGTATTACAGACTCAGACAGGGAGAGGTTGAAAATGTCAGTGAAGACACTTGCCAGTTGGTCAGTGCATGCTCGGAGTACACATCCTGGTAATCCGTCTGGCCCTGCGGCCTTGTGAATGTCGACCTGTTTAAAGGTCTTACTCACATCGGCTACGGAGAGCTTGATCACTCAGTCATCCGGAGCAGCTGGTGCTCTCATGCATGCTTCAGTGTTGCTTGCCTCGAAGCGAGCATAAAAGGCCTTTAGCCCGTCTGGTAGGCTCGCTTCACTGGGCAGCTCGCAGCTGGGTTTCCCTTTGTAGTCCGTAATAGTTTGCAAGCCCTGCCACATCCGACGAGTGTCAGAGCCGGTGTAGTAGG